AGGAATTACAACTTAATCACTTTATCTCGTTAGGTTACGTAACAAGCACTCAGAAAACAGTGCAGTAATTCAGTTAAAAAAGGTTGTGTTTGTGAGAGGGGGCATTTGTTGCATTTAAACTTTAAAACTTTAAATTTAATTTGCTGTTATAGCGTAGCCTGTATTTACAGTCTTATTGGAGTCTTGTTGGATGCTGGCGAGGTTTTTAATCACAGAAGACAGAAAAAGGAATGAACTCTGGAGCCGTTATGATGGGGCCGAAAACATCTGGAATGATTTTTAGAAGAATATAACACAACATGCTGAAGTCTGAATGAAATGACTTGTAACGTTTTATCAAACCAACTTCAAGAAGTTTGCTCTTACTTGTTTTTGGACTTAATCCAGGATGTTTTGTTTGTGACGGCTGGAGGAAAATGATGCCATCCAGTGGTGGAGCTGCACCCTCAACATCTGGTTAAAACAACACAGGCTGTAATGTTCCATTAGTGATCACTGATCAGCCAACAGAACAGAAAGATGTTCATGGTTCCTGCTTCTGTCTTCTGATAACACCCACAATCCTCTGCTTCACTCTGGATTAAAAAAAGAAAACACCTAAAACTCCTGCAGACAACCAAACCAACAATACTTGAACTAGATAAACTGCATTTCCTGTGAAAATGCAGTGTGAATGCTTATTGCAGAAGAACTTGCTGAAAACCAGCTGAAATTAGCTAAAAACATGCTAAAATGTAGCTGAAATGGAAGAGCAAGCCTACATTAGCAAAAGAAATAACAAATATTTGCTGAATTAGATTTAAATAAGCAGAAATGAGCACAAAAAATAGGAAATCAGCTAAAACAAACCTAAAATTAGCAAAAATCATCTAAAAAGTAGTCAAAAAGGCAAAAACAGCTTAACCAACGAGAGGGAAGTGGAATGAACAGAGCTAAAAAATATAGAATTAGCTGAGAAAGTTAAAATTCACAGAAAACAGCTAAATAGTAGCTGAAATAGCAGAAAAAGCTTAAACTAGCTGAAAAGATCATAAGCTGAAATTAGCAGAGAGAAGTTAATTAGGATGAAAGTAGCAGAAATGACCAATAAAAACTTGAATTTACCTAAAAACAGCTGAACTCAGTTAAAATTTTTCTAAAAAAGTAGCTGAAAAGGTGGAACAAGATGAAATTAGCATAAGAAAGCAGAAGGAACACGTTTGCCCAATTAGGCTGAAAAATGCAGAAATTAGCACAAAAAGAAATTATGTGAAAAAAGATTAAATTAGCATAAAAAAGCTATGCAGTAGCTGCAGTTGTAGAAGATGTAACATTTACATTTACTAAATAAATGTAACCAGTTCAAGCAGCTGGTATGAAAACGATGCAATAACTGTAAACATGACGTCAACAGTCTAAAGCAGTGATTCTCAGCTGGTTCAGCATTAAGGAACGAGTCGTGGCCGAAGATTTTCAGCTTCTCAGCTTCACTGAAGGAAACGACGAACCTGGGTCAGTTCAATAGAACATTACAGCACCCCAACACAGGAAACACAAGTGAAGTGACGAACCATGGAGGGAATTTATTTAATTTTTTAATTAAAACTTCCCTTCAGTCTTTTTTTTTTTAAATCGGATTCTGTGTTTTTACCCACGAACATGAAAAAAGAACGTCCAACAAAATACTTCAAATGTATCGCTTTAGCTGAAGACCTTGAAAATAATAAAAATGAAACAATGTCTGATGCTGCAGCCTTGGTGCAGGGTCTGCAGTATTGCGGACTCTGTGCCGGTCCATTGTGGTGAAGAGGGAGCTGAGCTGTGAGGCAAAGCTCTCCGTTCACCGGTCAGTCTACATTCCTAACCTCACATACGGTCACGAACTCTGAGTAGAGACTGAAAGAAAGAGATTGTGGATACAGGCGGTTGAAATGAGTTTCCTCTGCAGAAGTTCAGGCATCAGGAGAGACTGGGAGTAGAACCGCTGCTCCTCCACATGGAGAGGAGCCAGTTGAAGTGGTTCAGGCGACTGGTGAGGATGCTCCCTGGGCACCTCCCTGCTCAAGCTGCTGCCCCCGAGACCTGAGCCCAGCACAAGAGGAAGTGGGTGGATGGATGGATGGATGGATGGATGGATGGATGGATGGATGGATGGATGGATGGATGGATGGATGGATGGATGGATGGACTTTCTGGCCCTCTACCCACCAGCACGAATGGTCCACCACCTGATTTACGAAGCACAAAACAAATTAAACTGTGATTTTTTTTCTTCTGATTTTAGAACAACTTTTTTTTGACACAACTTTTTAGTTAGCTTGTTTTTTATCTCACAAGCTGAAAACTGGAATGACAATCTTTCTGCCTTTGTATTTAACGTCACCTCTGACTGAATTTAATGAATACTCACAAGTCAAACGAGCGCACACGTCGAAACCAGCAACACGCTCAAAAAAGAGATGAAAAAGACAGAAAACTTTTTTTTAAACGTATACAAGCATCGCTGCTGTGAAAGATCCAGACATGTGAGGCGCCTGGGGGCTTTGGCGCTTACGTTTGTGCCAAACTCTCAAAGAGGAGACTTTTTGATATGGATATTGGTGGAACAATCAACATCTTACCTGTTGCAGGTAGGTCTTTAATTGACCTCAGTTTGGCGAAAGAGTTTAACTCTGACGGGATGATGGGATAACCATAGACGTGGGCTTTTCGGGCTTCGAAGGAGCAGATCAGTTCAGACCGACACTTTGGACCAGACTGCATCAGGCTGAGCTCGTGGAAAAGAGGAAGACTCATGACTCTTCCTCTGTGAAGGTCCATCCCTGTGATTTTACTACAGCGATACCTCCGTGAGGAGTCCACACTGACTTCTAAAACGACTCCAGGCTCAAAACTTTTATAAACCCACTGAAGCTATTTTAAAGCACTTTCCATTACCGTCAGTTTTACTTCTTTTATTGTGTGGGTGCTTATTAAGCATTCACACTATTGTGATCCTGTTTATATTTATTATTATAGTTACTATACTTCTTTCTGCTAGCTGTAACATGTCTGTGCTTCTTCTAACTTATTTCAGCCAATTTAAGCTTGTTCTGCTCCTTTCAGTTTATTTCTGCAAGTTTCTGCTATTTCAGCTACCATTTAGCTGTTTTATGCTCATTTTAGCTTTTTTGGCTCATTCCACATTTTTTGCACTCATTTAAACTTTTTTTCAGTCTAATTCAGCAAAAATGTGCTCTCTCCACTTGCTTCTGTTAATTTAAGGTTGTTTCTTCTTTTTTAGCTACTATTCAGCAGTTTTTTTTATTTTGGTTTGTTTTTAGATAATTTCCACTTTTTTGTTGTAATTTCTGCTTCTTTAATTGGGTGCAAATGTGGTCTCTACATTTTCTTCTGGTAATTTAAGCTTCTTTCTTTTTAGCTACTATTCAGGGGGTTTTGTTGTTGCAAATTTCTGCCCTTTTTTTTTTTTTTAGATAATTTCCAATATTTTGTGCTCGTTTCTGTTTCTTTCAGCCTAATTGGGCAAAATTGTGCTTTATCTACAGTCTTCTGATGATTTAAGCTTTTTTTTCAGTCATTTCAGCTACTTCTCAGCTAATTCTTGCTAATTTCAGCTTTTTTTTTTAGTTAATTTACTCAATTTTGAGCTTATTTCTGCTTATTTACACCAAATTTAGCTAAGATGTGTTCTTTCTGCTTTATTCTGCTAACTTAGGCTTGTTCTTCCATTTCAGCCACATTTCAGCAGGATTTTAGCTGATTTCAGCTGTTTTTCAGCAAGTTCTTCAACAATAAGCATTCACACTGCATTTTTGCAGTCAACGCAATTCCTTTAGTTCAAACAGGATTCTGTGGGGAGTTTTTTTGCTTCTAGCCGTAGAATGGCTTTCGTGATATTTCTGCTGAAATAACCGTGCAGCGCAGAAGTGACAGCAGAATTAAAGTTTGTAAAGCTACTCGCACTTGAACCGCTACAATAGTTTGGGATTAAAGTTGTTTTAGGCCGACAGAAATCTGTTTCAGCTGTGCTTCAACTAGTGATTATCTCACTTGGAATAAACTCCATTTCTAGAGGAATTCTTAGAGCTATCTCCAGCAGGTAAGATACTTATTGTTCATGAGCTTTCCATAAAAGATGCAAATTGCTCATCCCAGAGATCTGCGTTTGAGAAAACCTGTCCAGATGTTTTCTACGAGTCGGATGCATGAACGCCTCCAGCTGGCCGGCAGTCAGATTAGACCGGCCTTTTATCTCCTCCGTCCTGGTGCAGACGGTTGCTTGCATCATAATCCTGGATTACAGGACAGGATGGTGTTTACAGCAGCAGTTCGTGCAGAGACAGAAAGAGTAACGAGACAGGATGGGATCCTGGTTCCATGTATTTAACAATGTTTAAGGAAAAAAAAGCTTTTGCTCCATGTTGCCTTGGAAGAGGTCAAACTGATTCACACAGAAAAATCTGATCAAGTGTTGAACTTTTTTCAGCCGGTTTGTTTGTTTGGGATTATGTGGCTATAAGTAATAATTTTGGTGGGTATTGTGTCTATTAAAGCAGTGAAGGGATGTGTTGTGTGCATTTTTAAAGCAGCAAACTGGTTGGAAAGACGAGACACATTCCAACAAGCAGCAAGCGTGGACGTTTGTTGAGGTGGGAGTTAGAGACAAACGTGGACAGAAACATGGAAACCAGAGCCAAGTGTCTTCTTTGTGTGCACGTGCCTGCCCTAATCCCTACCTGAGCCTGCTGTCGGCTGCTCCGATGCTCAGGGTCAGAAAACAAGCAAAGCTTCTGCTGCTTAGCTGGGAAGGTGGATTCTGCTGAGCAGGCTGCCCGGGAGCAAGAGGAGCACAGGTACCAGAGTGATGGAGAGCTGAATCAGATGCTCAAAGTGGCTCATTCATATCATTGAAGCTGCTCTTCTGATTGGTTTCTCACCTGTTTGCTCCCACGATAAGAATGAGGGCCAGCAGCCAGGCTGGATTGTGGATTAACTTGAGGGACAACTGAGGATCAAGAAGTCAAGGAACCATGAAGATGCTGCAACTGGAGCCACTACTGAGGGTAAGACAGTTGGAACTTTAACTGGAAGTTTCAGAACGTTTAAACTGGTTCAAAATAACGGCCTTGCACTTCATGAACGCTTATCGCCTGCCACCTTTCATGCGCAGGATCTGTTAGAGCTCAAAGTATGTGATGAGGATCACTCTCAGCTACCTCCACACCAAACTTTAGTTCTGTATCTGTAAATGTGACTGAGCTACGGCCATTTTTTATGATGACTGGCTGGGGCGGCCACTTTTCATTTGGCTGGCTCGGAATGTAAATGAGTTGTGGACATTCCTCTAACGACTAACTTCTGAGAGTTGCATTAAACTTTGTCAACTTGGTCATGAGTTATTTTGCTAACAGGCAAACAAAGTTGACACCAACAGGTAACGCCAAAGTTTTGGACAAAAAATTTTACGCCACGTGTAGTGCTCGGAGTTTTAGATAAAAGGTTTAGAAAATAGCACACTAAAACTTTTGCCTGTTTGTTGAAAGTTTTATCCATTTTTAGGGTTTTAAATTAACTTAACTGTGGCAGCCATCTTTACTGGAATTGTTTTCAAGTTGATTATTTGTAGAAATATAACTGTTTTTTTTATTAATTAAAATCTGCCATGAGATTCACAAGATATTTTGCCACCAGAAACACAGATTGATGGCAAAGTAAATAAATATATAAAAAATAAAAAAGCAGGTCTCACACTATCAGTTAGTGCTCAGAACATAAGCTGGAATGACTCAGCTACTACCACACAAAATGTCATGTCATATGTAAAATTGGCAGAACTGTGGCGATTTTTGTGTGCTCTGAGATAATTTGTCCATCTTGAATTGGGATGAAGCTTTAGATGTACACCTAATTGTTTTTTCTTGAAAATTTCATTAAAACCCGTTCTGTGGTTCGTAAGATATTTTGCTAACAGAGCAACACATTTAATTGTGCGGCTTCTTTTAGGGTGTAATACCACCGCTCGGACACTAGGGGGCGGTGTTGATTTATTTATAGGCTCCAGCTCAGTCCGTCTCGAGCTACCTGTGCGTACTGCGCATGCTCACTCAACCCGACTGATAACCAAACATTTTATCGACGGATTAAAGAAGGTAATATTTACGACTGATTAACTGTTAAACTGGGAGAGAATAGCGCAAATAAAATGTATTTTGGGATTTATTTATTATTGTTGTTGTTTATCTTCCGGTTTGTAGCTAAATTAATAAGTTTTGTCGAATTTTGCTCTTCATTTCCAAATCGTTTTGTCTTTTAGTGAATAAAACTGCGTTTTTAAGGTTTTTTTTTTTTTAAACAAGTTTATTTTTTACGCTTTAAAATCGCCATAAATGAACTATCCCAGGTGAAGTAATTGGCTGGTTTGCACACCTGTTTCAGTAAAATTTCAGTTTTATATTTGTTTTTAATATTTTGGTGTCAAATTAAATGTTTTGTTCTCCAAATTCTTTGTGTTTGAAATCAGTTGAACTTAAATGCTGATTTATTTTTTTGTTTACTAATTTATAAGGCTGTGTCTATGTTGGTCTTTTAGCAAAATATCTTACAAACCACTGGATGGATTTTTTTTAATTACATTTTCAGGAAATGTTCACTGGCTGTTTCTCTACAGTGTATTATTACTAAGAACATGCTAATACAAAGTAACTATTAAATTTCACAGGGTGAGTTGTATATATTTAAAAAAAAATACACAAGGAACAAGTTTACATAAAATCCAATTTAATAAAAGTATAAATTTGTTGAGCAGATTTACTTTTAACCAAATTAAGAGACTTCCAGAAACATTTCAGTTGGTTTTCCCGATTAAATAAATTTGGAATCAACTTTTTTTTTTTTTAAATTAACATTTATGAACAAAAACTTTCCTAGTCATATTAAGCTGTTGATTAAAATATAAATTTTAAAGTTTTGAAAACCAAATTTTATTGTTGTTAAAGTCAAAGTTGGAGGTTCAATGGCCGCAACAGCTATTTTAATAGACCCTGTAAAACGCATAAATGTGAACACTGAGCTAATTTTTTTATGAATCTGGAGCTGAAAGTGTGTGGTAGTAGCTGAGAGTCATCTGCTTATGCTCTGCTTCTTTTTTCTTTTGTACTTTTTGCCTGAATTTCTGAAAGTGATCATTATTGTCTCCTCAGACTTCAGCCCCTCCTCTCGTCAGGAAACAGCATGGACTCCTGCACGCCTCAGCCGTCGCGCCGTCACAACCCCGTCGACAGCATCTGCCGCAAACTGCGCGCCATTCAATGGCGTGGTGACCGGGAGCCCAACACGCCTTTCCAGATCCCCAAACTGTCGTCCAGCAGCTTCGACAGCCCTCTGTGTGGTCTCAGGCACAACCTGGAGGCCATTCTGAAGAGTGGAGCCTTCCACCGAGACGAGGGAGGGATGGGGACGCCCATCTCAGGTCCGTCTGTGCGTTTCTCCACCCCGGCTAATGCCACCTACACCGTCACCAGTTCTTCAGGAGAAAGAAGAGGTCTAGACGAGGGTGACTCGAGACGGGCCAGGCGGCAGAGCCACTGTTCTACCGCTACAACTCAGCCAAAGGACTCCCCGTACTTTGCTTTTGCAGGAGGACCTCATTCTGACAGAACGAGCAGGAGCCCTCCCTTGTCCCGTACCTTCACTCCAAGTAACGGCACCCCCTCCTACAACGTCAACTTCTGCGCTGCCGATTCCACAAACTGGTCCGAGTGTGAGCTGCTGTACCCGGCTCTGGTTGTGAAGAGACTGTCCATGGGGGACAGAGGTAGGGGGCCTTGAAGCTGTTAGAATTAAATTCTTACACAAACTTTGACAATAAAAGGCATTAAAAAATGCATTTTATTTCAAGATGGCTGCCACAGCCATGTTGCAAGATGTTAACGCTGGGTTGTGAACGACTCTCGGCTACTACCACAACTTTTACCTCCGGTATTTGTAAAATTAGTTGAGTCACAGCCATTTCTGGTCAGTTGGCTGTGGCAGCCATCTTGAATTGGCTCCAAAAGTTAATCGGTACATCCAGGGAATATTTCCTGGAAGTTTTATTCAAATCTGACCTGTGGTTGATGAGCTACTGAAACACTATCTCAAAGCTAAAGGATGCTAACGGTTAAATGAGGCCTGGAAACTGAGGCCAAGTGGATCGTTTTGACCCAAGGGCAGCAGGAGGGTTAATCAGAATAAGCTTTATTATCATTGTACCGAGATACAATGAGATTATGTTGGTACAGTCGTCCGAAAGATGGACGACGTGCATGTTGCTGCTGCTACAGGAGCACGGCCTCTTATCCTTTATCAGAATACTTTTTTAGATAGAAAAGGGAAAAGGCCTTGAGGATGGATAGTGGTATAACAAAAAAGATCTCTTCACATCTTGTCCCATCAAGGCACATTTTAAGACTTCAAAAAACTCTACCAGCAAGCACATTTATAGACACATTACATGAGCATCTGACGACGAGACTGTGAGATTTGTCCACGAAGCACATCCAGATAGGCCATAGTCCTGATAAGATGTTGGTCAGACGGCAGTTCTGATAAGCCTGCACAGAAATTCTCTGGGGTGGGGGGTTACAATAGACAAAGCTTTTCCTTAGTTTATCCATGTCCCAGGAGAAATGTAATCGTTGGCCTGCTTTCCAGGCCAAACGGGGGAGTCGGATTCAGATGAGCCACAATTGTTGGTTTCTTCAGGCAGACTGTTTTTTTTTCTTGTCAGCCTTGAGTCCTGCTGGTACTTTCGATCCAAAATGGCCAGACTTGTGGGCATTCCACTGGTCTGTGCTATGAGCCTCCTTCAAGGTCGCCCCAACATGTTGGGGAGTCCTAGAATCTGCAGGTGGCCTGCGATTCTCACAAATTGCTTCCAACTTACCGTTTAGCTCGTAAATCAGTTGATTTTGAGTACTCGTATCACGAACCAAACCTTCACACAGACTTTACAGTTTTGTCATGGCCAAAACTGCTGCCGCCGTCTTCTTTAATAGCCGATAACATAAGAACCCGCTGATGGCAAAAAGCAGAAACCCTGGAATCCAGTTATATAAACGTCTTCGGCGTCCTCCTGAGACAAAACGGAAAGACACATCAGCTCCAACACACCCCACGGATCCATGACGTAACCTGCAGCGTGAGTCTCAGCGGGATGTGAGGGCTCTCCAGGACCCTGTTGCTTTGTTGAAAAGATTTTGTCGATTGCGTTGAAAGTCCTGCTCTGAGAGACACGGAGAGCAAAAAGGCAGGAGGAAGAGGAGAACGGGGGAGGGAGAGAAAATGTATAGCGAGTGCAGAAAAACAACATAACAAACATTAAGCATCTGAAATAATCAAATCAGTTATTTTCATAAACTGGTAACTGGCGTTTAAGCCAATTAAAATTGGAACAGGTGGATGCTAAACTTTTGTATTTTGTGAGCCCTCAAATTATCGTTTACTAATTTAATCCTCATGAAACTTGGATTAACGAGTTGGATGAGAGCTGCTTTATCGGCCACTCAGAAGGTTTCACAGTTTATCATTGTAGTTTATTGCTTTAATATCTTTTGGGGAAAAGAAAATCTATTTTTATTAGAGAAATTTCCTGCATGTTGATAAAAAGAAGTTCTGCGTTTGATTTAACTCATGAAGCGTCTCGTTCCTGCTGTGCATGCAACGCTGTTTATTTTGAAAGTCTGGCGTGAAAAGTGTTGAAACAAAGAGAAGCGCTGGTCTAAAATAGACTCCTTAATGTTTTTAGACTTCGACGTGATGCAGTGCAGTCATAACGGCGTTAGTCACCGCCGTGCCTGAAGGAGAACGCGTCATGCGCTCGCTTTGCTGCTTAAATCAGTTCACGTTGTGTTTAAGAGTCGTGTTGATGCTCCTGCAGGACCAGGTGCTGCTGAGAACCGAAGGAAGATGGCAGATATCAGTCTGATCTGCGAGGAGAATCTGCTCGATACCATATTTCACGTGTGCGACACCCAGCGCAGAGGTACGCTCGCTCTCACACTTCATGGTAACTTTGTTTGCTCACACGTTTTCTCCTTCGGGCAAATTTAACGGTTCAGTGTCGAAAGCTTGAAGTGGTCTCTGATCCGCACGCCATCCACGTCCAGGGTTTACCACAATCGATGAGCAGATATCTTGTAGAACAACGACTGCAGCAGTTTTCTGTAGGATTTTACACACAGGTGCTGGTCATAAAATTAGAACATCATGAAAAAGTTGATTTTATTTCAGTAATTCCATTCAAAAAGTGAAACTTGTATATTCATTCATTCCACACAGACTGATATGTTTCAAATGTTTATTTCTTTTAATGTTGATGATTATAACTGACAACTAATGAAAACCACAAATTCAGTATGTCAGAAAATTAGAATATTAAGTCCAATAAAAAAAAAAAATGTTTAGAAATGTTGGCCATCTGAAAAGTATGAGCATGTTCAGCATCAGTACTTAGTTGGAGCTCCTTTTGTCTGGATTACTGCATCAATGCAGCGTGGCATGGAGTCCATCAGTCTGAGGCTCTGCTCAGGTGTTGAGAGTCCAGGTTGCTCTGATAGTGGCCTTCAGCTCTTCTGAATTGTTGGGTCTGTTGTGCCACATCTTCCTCTTCACAATACACCATAGATTTTCTATGGGGTTAAGGTCAGGCCAGTTTGCTGGCCAATTAAGAACAGGGACATCATGGTCCTTAAACCAGGTACTGGTAGTTTTGGCACTGTGTGCAGGTGCCAAGTCCTGTTGGAAAATGAAACCTGCATCTCCATAAAGTTGGTCAGCAGCAGGAAGCATGAAGTCTAAAACTTCCTGGTAGACGGCTGTGTTGACCTTGGACCTCAGAAAACACAGTGGACCAACACCAGCAGATGACATGGCCCCCCGAACCATCACCGACTGTGGAAACTTGACACTGGAGCTCAAGCAACGTGGATTTTGTGCCTCTCCTCTTCCTCCAGACTCTAGGACCTTGATTTCCAAAGTAAATGCAAAATTTACTTTCATCAGAAAATGCAACTTTGGACATGTATTTTTTTTTTTAATCATTTCCAACCTTGTGCCGCCCCTCTGCTAGGATCGGGGTTCGGCCTCCATGAGAAGGCGAGGCCGGGGTCCGGGCAACGGCCTTCTGCAAGTCAGCAGCTCGGGGGTGACCAGTGGAGCTCGAAGCCCGAAGAGCACGCAAGGTCGGGATCCGGAGCCCGAGCCGGCAGCGTGGAGGATCTTCTGCGGTGACCGGCGAAGCTCCATCTAGCTCGCTCTGAATTTTGTCGTCGGCCACCAAGCACAAAAATCACCTGCACTTCAGCATTAGACCACGTGTTGTCATTATTGTTTTTAAAATCTTAAAAATGGATCCAGCCGCTGCGCCGAGTTCCGAGTAATTGCAAATGGCGGCTCTGTGTTGTGAAAAGTTTATGAAAGGTCCAGTGACTCCTCCCCCTGCCCAATCGGTGACCAACAGTTTTTTGACGCCACGTTTTGGTGCCAGCTCGGCTCGCTTGGTACCACCAAAGAAGCAGGACCAAAAAAGGGGCCGGTTCCGCAGCTGAACGTCCATTTGGGCTGATGGATCGCTGCCTGGCCGCACGGGTCTTCCCATCTGAAGCTTAACTGAACCGGTCAAATGGCCGCATGCAGCTGGTGATTGTATGGCAAACCAAGTGGCCATATAATTGGATTTTGTCCACTGACGCTATAAAAAACCCGGCCCGCCCATCCAGCACATTATTATAGCCCGGCCCAAATTCAGGTCGGGCCGGGCTTCGAGCCCAGGTCAGAAATGACAGCTCTACTCCAGAGCAGCAAAAACTGATTTTCTAGAGGTGGTCTGAGCAGCTCCTGTGGTAGCAGCAAGTCTTTTTCTCACAGCTTTAACTTTTTGTTTAATACATTTGACTTGGTTGTTGTATTTTAAGGGGTAAATACATAATTTTCTTGTCTTGCATATTTTATTGTGTTTATTACAAATCAAAATCTTATAATTCATGTGGGTGCAAGACCCAGGAACGTTACACTGAGTTGTTAAAATCTCAGGTGGTTTAACCATTTCACATCTTTTTCTTTTCTTTACTATTTGATCAGTTTGATGACATCCTATTTTATTTAACCTCTGAACTGAAAACAAATGGCAGTGAAACTACGTCCAAGTCTGCAGCTAAAAACCTTTCACCTTAATTTTTTTGTTATTGTTGTTGGAGATATTTTCTCATTGTGGCATTTCTGTTGAAAGTAGAGTTGTATAAAGAATTGAAGCCATGCACGTTGTTGAGTACAACGTGTTTATGGAGTGTTGGTAAGAGCTGAAATATGTTTTACAGTTTTAAATGTTGCTTTGGTAATTAAAATGCTTTAGTAAAGCCAGTTGTGATGAAGTTTGGCAATATTTTAAGAACAAAATTTGGGTTTTAATCCATAAAAATTCCAGGAGTTGTTGGTTCAGCGTGGTGAAGTACCCAGAGATGATTGATTTATTTTTTAATGGCGATTCTTACGTTCTAGGCAAAGTCTACGTGTCTCACATTGTGGACTACTTACGCCACACGACCAGTCGCAGCTCAGGAGACACGGGGCTGGAGGAGCTTTGCAACATGCTGGACCCAGAACACAAAGATGTCTCCATCGATCTGGACACCTACCATGCTGTCATGAGGGAGTGGATTGACGACTGCCACAACAACGGGTACTGAACAGAAGATGTGGGCGTTGGGGCCAAGTATGGCCCTCTAATTCCTGTAGGAGTTTAATACGAGTTGATGAAATGGGTTAAAATCAACCCACTACTTGGTCAGTTATGGACCGAGCCAACCCTTAGTAGTTTTAACTCTGCTGGTTTGGGTTATTGGTTTGAGATCCCACAGGATGAGCTGAAAAGTGTCTTTAGGGAGAGGGATGTCTGGGTTTTTCTCCTGGACCTGTTGTCTCTGCAACACAATTACGTATAGACGATAGAAGATGGACATGGACTTTGATCCATCGTACTGGGTTAAGTTTTCTACACAAGTTGGATTAATTCATTCAACCTTTATTTAGACAGGTAGATCCCATTGAGCCTCGAGGACTCATTTACAAGAGAGACCTGATTTCAACAAAGAATGACAATGTACAACCGTGACAACAATAGACAAATATAAAAAGGCGTACAGATTTTTTTTTTTAACAAATAGGATGGCAAAAAACGTAACAAACGGCTAGATTATAAGACGAATGTAGAAAACTAAAAACAGGAACATGTCTGCATTGGTCCCTGCCAGGAGTCCAACAGATTCTTAAAGCCTCTTAGAGAGGTCAAGGTCGAGAGCTTCAGATCTTTTTACAAGATATTCCAGGAAACGGGAGCGGAGTAGGAGAAGGTCCTTTTGCTTAGTTCAGTCCTCACTGAGGGAACACTGCAGGTAATGATGTCCTGAGAGCGCATGCTGTAGCTGCACTCATGCAGAGACGTGTAGGAGGAGATGTATGAAGGCAGCAGACCAAGAAGTAATTTAAAGATGAAAATGCACCAGTGAGAGAGTCTGCGTGAAGTTAATGGTGACCAGTTAACCAGTGAATACGTCGGATCTACAGGTCCTTCTCAAAAAATTAGCATATTGTGATAAAGGTCATTATTTTCCATAATGTAATGATAAAAATGAAACTTTCATATATTTAAGATTCATTGCACACCAACTGAAATATTTCAGGTCTTTAATTGTTTTAATACTGATGATTATGGCATACAGCTCATGAAAACCCAAAATGCCTGTCCCAAAAAATTAGCATATTTCATCCCACCAATGAAAGACAAGTGTTTTTAATACAAAAAAGAGACAGCCCATGTTAGTCAAGGGGCCTTCCTCCCATTTTTCTTAGAGGCATGCTGCTCACTCCCTCACTATCTATCCTTCAGTTCAGTCTTATACTGCCATCCAGTGGTCGAAAAAATGTACTACACACAAAAAAATTAAACATTTCTTCTTAAATTTGACAATAATTGCTAATTATTGTCAAATTTCAAACAATATTATCGTTTATCGCAATAATTTCTGAGACAATTAATCGCCCAGTAAAATTTGTTATCGTGACAGGCCAACTTGAACTTTGAAGCGATAACGTAAAGGGTTACTTTTAAAGTTTGTGCTAAACACCACAAAAAAGCTCATTCCCAACTCATTTAGTAATGAAATATTAAATATATAAAAAAAAGACCTGATTTGTCTTTTGAAGTTTAACAATCAGTTTTCTTTTAGTCAGGAGACCGTAGACAACCTCCAGGAGGACTCGGTGAAACACAAAGACGGTGTTTCTGGTAAATGTGCAAATTTTCAGCCTTCATCTAATACTGACAGCACCTGGAGCTTTTATTTGTCTGTTTTTCCCCCCAGCCAGGAGGTCCATGCTGCTAAATATGACCTCAGGAAGCTTGGAGGCATTAGGAGGAGACGTATCCGGAGCTGAACTGTAAGTGAAGTCGTAAATGTGACGTCCTGGGTATGCCCTCGTTGTGTGAAACTGAGCTGCATGTGTTTTCTGTGGGTTTTAGTGAAACGTCAGAGCTGGTTAACTGTGTTGCCGACCTCCAAATGAGCAACCACAAGCTTCAGGAGGAGGTGAAAAAGCTGAAGCAGGTGATGGAGAGCATGGAGGAGAGCAACCAGAAGCTAGCAGAGGAAAATGAGCAGCTACGCCACCGGGCCACGGTGTAAGATTCTCTGAGCTGACTGCAAATGCACAGCAAAGAGACATGAAAGCAGTTTGTTGACGCTGACTGTCATACGGCTCAGTAACCAGCAGCTGGCCCAGAAGGAGGAGATGCTGAAGGAGGAGGTGGAAGAGATGAAGGCATCTCTGACCTGCACAGAAGAAGGCAGAGCTCGCGCCTCCGCACACAGCAAACACATGGTCAGTCGAACGCCTCTGTACTGACGGAGCAAAGCTCTTTTCCCTCCGTTTCATTTTGTCTGAGATGTTCTTTAGGTTGCAAACATTTATCTGTGCTTCTCAAACTGTGGTGTCTTTTAGAGAAAATAGTTTATTTAATCAAATCTGATCATTTTATGAAAACTACCATTTGAGCCATTTCTCCCATAGATAAGATTGAGTTCTTTTAAATATCTTCTCGAACATTTAATATCCAAGCGCTTCTCTTTATCAGACCTTAGGAGGTCAAACTCGGTTTCATAAAAAATAAAACTTATCAATCTTTGTTTACTTCAGTATTTTCTTGAAATAATTTGCCATTTTTTAGACAACTGTTATAAAATTCACACACAAATGTAAATATACATGCATCCATCCATCGGCTTTAAAAAAAAACGCTTTATTAAACCATTATGACAAAACTCTGAAGTTATAAAACCTCTAAACGTCAGATGAAAACGGTCATTTTTAACAAGGACAAATGTTGGCAATCATTTTATGGTTTTATGATGGTTTTGTGTTTTTGTTTAAAAATGAGCATGTCCATGTAGCGGAAAAAACTGTGAATGTGGTCCATTTACCACATTCCTGCTGCCGAAAGTATGTTTGTTTATTGGTCATCAATTTAATAGATAAATGAACAGAAATGGAAAACAGAGAATGTATAGAACCATCACAGATCTATTTTTGCATAATGCTTCTAGAGATCACCAGAAGAGTTAATAATCAAGCTATTCTGGGTGAACTTGGGACATTCCCCCTCAGATTATGTTGTATGAAGTGATGTGTACTCTATTGGCTGACACTTCCCATTATGGATTTCTCCAGATATCCACGTGTTAGAAAATGCTTTCAGAATTTGATGCTGTTGGCAAAAAGACGGGTCAAACGTTAAAACTCTACTTCATTCTCTTGGTTTTAGTTCTGTCAGGAATGCTCAAGGTGTTGGCGACTAAAATGCTTTTTTAGGTATTTAAAAAACATTTGGGCAGCAGTGCACGCATGGCATAATATTCAAGTATAGAAAACTAACCAAAAACATTATTGTAACTGAACATTAAGTAACTGATTGGATTCATTGGGTTTCATGGACAAATATAACCATCATCAGCATAACAATGAAAATTTATTGCATACTGTTCAATAACTTTACTTAATGGAAGCATATAAAAAAGTAAAGAGTATTGGTCTAAACATTGATCTCTGAGGAACTCCATGAATAACGTTGGTGTATGAAAAAGATTCATTATTTACATGTACAATTGGAATCCATCAAATAAAAAAAAAGTTTGAGTCGTTCCTGTAATCCCAATATCATATTAAAGCCTTGTAGAATAATTTTGTGATCAACTGTATCAAATGCAGCAATGAGACAAATTCAGCAGATTCAAAATGGGGTTATCAATTAGGGGAAATATCTCTTTAGGGGTGGTGGCGCAGAGGTTAGAGAAGGTGGACCTGTGATCGGAAGATCACCGGTTCAAGCCCTGGTACCGACAACATCAAAAAATGTGGGTGGGGTAGGTGAAGCACCCACACCCTAACCCCCACCATCTGCTCCTCCGGGTGTCCTAGATGGCAGCTCTCTGCTCCACACAGAGGGCTGTGGTAGCTCGGTGGTCTGTGGTTGCGTCAGGATGAGTATCCGGTGTAAAAATAACAGCAAAGTCTTTGTGCGACGTATTTCGCTGTGGCGACCCCTGAAGAAGGGAGCAGCCGAAAGAAGAATAATACTAAAAAAAACTCTTTAAACAGTCCAGTCTAGTCTTTCAAAGCTATAAATACACATTTTATCTGTGCAAGTATAAATGGGATAACACATATGTACATAAAACTGTTAGGCTTATACTGTGATAAATACTTGCACGTTTGTGGCCTGGTAATGAAATGCATGTATTTTGTTGTGGAACTGTGGGCCAGGACAAATCCTCAAGCAGTAAACATAGTGTGGACTTAATCCCTTTTAAGAAAATGGCAACAATGTCAGACAAAGTCATGTGTTTACAGGTATTGCCCAAAAACTCAAGTATAATGGTTGTACAACAGACAACTAGGTGCAATATCTGTCACTCTTTGGTACTTTCAGCTGCATACTATTTCCTACTGCTGGTGGGAAAAATACTGTTTGACGCGTAAACTATAAAGTATACAATGTTTATAGAAGGGGTGCCCAAACTTCTTCCCTGAAAGGGCCAAATTTAAAATCTATCAGAGGGCTGCAGGCCAAATACAATACATAAAATGTAAATTCTTCTTTAAGTAAAGTCCATTTATTTATTATACAGTTATTTAACCTTCCATTCTGTATAAAGAACATTACAGAACAAACTGTGTTGGGGGGGGGGGGGGGGTGGAGTCTGAGGGTCCTCCCCCAGAGAATTTTGATTAAAGTAGATGCCATCTCCTGCATTCTGGTGTATTTTACTAAAGTTTATTACAGTAGATTAACATGAAACCATCCATCCATTTTCTTCCGCTTATCTGGGGTCGGGTCGTGGGAGTAGCAGCTTAAGTAGGGAGGCCCAGACTTCCCTCTCTCCAGCCACTTGGGCCAGCTCCTTTGGGGCAATCCCAAGGCGTTCCCAGGCCAGCTGAGAAACGTAGTCCCTCCAGCGTGTCCTGGGTCTTCCTCTGCGTCTCCTCCCGGTGGGACGTGCCCGGAACACCTCACCAGGGAGGCGTCCAGGAGGCATCCTAACTAAATGCTGGAGCCACCTCAACTGGCTCCTCTCGATGTGGAGAAGCAGCGGCTCTACTCTGAGTGCCTCCAGGATGACCGAGATTCTCACCCTATCTCTAAGGGAGAGCCCAGACACCCTGCGGAGAAAACTTCATTTCAGCCGCCTGTGTCCGTGATCTCGTTCTTTCAGTCACAACCCAAAGCTCATGACCATAGATGAGGGTAGGAACATAGATCGACCGGTAAATTGAGAGCTTTGCCTTTTGACTCAGCTCTCTCTTCACCACAACAGACCTGTACAGCGCCTGCTTCACTGCCGATGCTGCACCTATCCGCCTATTGATCTCACGTTACATTTTTCCCTCATTCATGAACAAGACCCCATGATACTTTAACTCCTCCACCTGGGGCAGGACCTCCTCCCCGACCCAGAGAGGGCACTCTACCCTTTTCCGGCTCAAGACCATGGCCTCGGATTTGGAGGAACTGATCCTCATCCTGGCCACATCACACTCTGCCGTGAACCGCTCCAGCGAAAGCTGTAGAACACGACTTGATGAAGCCAATAGGACCACATCATCTGCAAAAAACAGAGAAGCGATCCTAAGGCCACCAAAACGGATCCCCTCAACACCTTGGCTGTGCCTAGAAATTCTGTCTATAAAAGTTATGAACAGAATCCGTGACAAAGGACAACCTTGGCGGAGGTCAACTCTCACTGGGAACAAGCCCGACTTACTGCCGGGAATGCGGACCAAGTCTGACACCGGTCTTACAAGGGCCTGGTACCCCATACTCCCAGAGTACCCCCCACAGGGCTCCCTGAGGGACACGGTCAAATGCCTTCTCCAAGTCCACAAAGCACATGTAGACTAGTTGGGCAAACTCCCACGCACCCTCCAGGACCCTGCTGAGGGTGTAGAGCTGGTCCAGTGTTCCACGACCAGGACAAAAACCGCACTGCTCCTCCTGAATGCGAGGTTCGACTATCTGACGGACCCTCCTCTCCAGAACCCCTGAATAGACCTTACCAGGGAGGCTTAAGAGTGTGATCCCCCTGTAGTTGGAACGCATTCTACTGTCCCCCTTTTTGAATAGGGGGACCACCACCCCAGTCTGCCAATCCAAGGGAACTGCCCCCGATGTCCACGCAATATCGCAGAGTCGTGTAAACCAACACAACCCCACAACATCCAGAGCCTTAAGGAACTCCGGGCGAATCTCATCCACCCCTGGGGCCCTGCCACCGAGGAGCTTTTTAACCACCTCGGTGACCTCCGCACCAAAGACTGGAGAGCCCAACTCAAAGTCCCCAGGCTCTGCTTCCTCAGTGGAAGACGTGCCGGTGGGATTGAGGAGGTCTTCGAAGTATTCTGCTCACCGACCCACGACATCCCGAGTTGAGGTCAGCAGCACACCTCCTCCACTATAAATAGTGTTCGTGGCATACCGCTTCCCATATTTCCATATTCGCTTTCCACATTTATTCAATATTTTGGTGAATCTAATGTTTGAGAACTGTTTCCTTACACAATCCTAATGATGGTTTCTCTATTTTTCAGGAGTGCTGAGTTTAAATTTAAAGAGGCTAAAATCACCACTGAAACCAGTTCATATTTATAATTTACTTTTAAACACTTTGTGTGATGTATAAGTGTGTTCTGTCAAAGGAAAATGTTATTCAGTGGCAGGAAGCTGCCGAGGGATGGTAGAAAGTCTGTCAATACAAAAATATAAATTATTAAAATTATTTAAAAAATACATAAATTATCTACTCTACTGTGTAATCCATGTAGTTAAATTATAGTAGTCAGGCCGACTAACAATAAAGTCAATGGGTGGAATCAATGAGTAAGCACATTGATTCACACACATTGATTCTTCAAAGGACATTTTAATATAGTAATGAGGACAACTTGGCCGGCCAACTGAAACGGCTTGGCGGGCCAACTTTGGCTCGCGGGCCACACTTTGGGCACCCCTGGTTTATAGACTATTCAGATATTCAAGTCGTTAATCAACCCTAGCAGAAATTGTGAATTGGTGAGTTTTAAATGTTTGTTTTTGTTTGCTTTTCTCCAGGAGAAGGAAAACCGGAGTCTGATTGCCAAGATCGCATCTCTTCAGGAGGAGGTATGTAGTTAACATTTGTCTAGTTAAAAAAATTAACTGGTGCCTTAACTCATGGGCATTATTAGTACAGATCCGGAGGTTATGTAAAGTAACAAATCACATTTTTAATGAGAGAATTTGACTGTTTTCAGCTTGACTTTTTTTTTTTTTTTTTTAAGAACTTCAAGGTCATTATGGAGACTGACGAGCTTCAGAATAAAATTAAAGAGCTGTGTGACCTTAACGCTGACCTTCAGGTATATTTATAGAAACTTTGGAGTTCCTGTACGTTGTCTGTTTTTCTTTAATCCCGTACCATCTGAGTGCAAACTATTAAACAGGTACATCTAAAAAAAAAATGAGCATCTTGTGAAAAGGTGAACGTTTTCACGAGCATTCTAATTTTTTGATGCACCTGAATGTCTTAACGAACACGCTGCAGCATGTTATCCAACCATTTTTCTCTACTTTTCTGTTCTACAACCCCAGTTCAGAAAAAGCTGAGACGCTGTGACAATATGACAATAAGAACAAAATGTAATGCAAACTGTATAAACCCATATTTTATTCGCACTGGAACATGGGACACTCTGAAGAATCCTTTCTCCTTATTTAACAAGTCTATAAACGTCCAGAACCAGAGAAGACCAGTTGTTGGAGGTTTTGGAGCAGAAGGTCCAGTTCTGGTTTGATGGAGCCTGGATCTCCTTTGGTAGATGGGAGCAGATCTTGTTCTATTTACTTTTACTCCATTGATGGAGCCTTTCCAGATGTGTAAATTGCCCATGTCAGAGGCACTAATGTACCCCCATACCATCAGAGAGGAAGGATTTTAAATTGTCTAATTGTCCTTCAAGCTTAGAGATTTCTACAGATTCTTCAAATCTGTTGATAAATTTCTTCATTGGGGACATTATTCTGAGATTGTTCCACTAGATGTAGATGCAGTTTCTTGCAGACCAGTAAACCTCAGCCCATCTTTACGTCCAAGAGATTCTCTAAAACGCTCTTTTTATTCCCAGTCCTCTCACCGATTTGTTGCCAATCAACCTAACTCATAGTAAAATGCTCCTCCAGCGGTTTATTTCTACCAATTAGTTGTACAGCCTTTTATCGCCCCTGGAGTAACTGTTTGGAGGAGTCCTTCTGTTAATTGAACTTTTTTTTCCAATATTCCCTATTTTCCATTTATAATTTAACATTGCATGAAATTTGCTTATCGTTACCTTTTTGTTTTTAATTACTTTTCGCACAACTTCCCGACCTTTTTTGAAACGAGGTTGTAAATGCTCTTTCCTTTCCATCAGATGAAGATTCACGCCCTCGACGCCGTCATCACTGAGAAGGAATCCGTTATTTTAGAGGTCAGGGCTGCGCCGGTTTGAGTTGTTGTTTGTGGCAAACGGACATTACAACAAAAATAGTTTTCTGTGCTGACTGATCTTCACTTTTCTGCTAAACCAACAGAAGAGCAGGCAGGTAGAAGATCTGAAGGCAGCAGTAGAAGAGCAATCTGCCATCACAGAGGTCAGTGTCTTGATCTTCTGCTGCTTTTGTGTGTGTGCAGTTATCCATCTCAGAAACTGATCGTAGATGTTCCTCTACAGTAGTCCCTCATTGATCACGGGGGGGTTACGTTCCAGACCCCCTTTGCAATAAGTGAAAATCTGTGAAGTAGGAAATCTATATTTATTTTAGTATTTAAATATATTTTAAGGCTTTATGAACTCTTCCCACACTCGTGCAATGTTCTAAACTCTTAAACATGCGTCATTTTAACAACATGCGTAAATGTACTGCACAGCAGCTACTGCAAAAATTTTATATGGGTACTCGCTAGCCTTGGTCCAGTTCTGGTCCGGTTCTGATTGGCTCTCTGCAGCCTTTGAGCACCAAGAGCCGCACCTTCGGATAGCCGGCACAGAACCACACAACGGTCCAGATCGAGTCCAAATCCGGATGAAGACAGTCCTGGTGAGCTCTGGAGAGGACGCTGGACCTCCAAGCAATGCCTCCCCGCTCAAGAGGCATCATGGGACGGCAAGCAGCACTCGCATGGATCGATGAGGCTGGAAGTCCGGTTCTGGTCCAATTCTCGGTCGGCTTCATACGGCTCTCTGTGTCCACGGAGCGCCAAGTCGATATGAATAAGGATTGAACTTTGTCGGATCGGATCAAAACTTTCCCTCCATTTTAGCAGAAACCAACAGCTGGAAGCACTGTTGACTTCTGGGTAATGTAGTCCTTGTTTTGACTGGCGATACAGTGTAGGCAAGAAAACTACAAGAAGGCGGCGCCTGTCCAAAGTGTTTTTTTTTTACTTTTTATTGTATCCCGTACTGTCCCAATCACGTAATATTAAAGTTAACAATCGTGTGTTGTGTACAAAATTTTTATTTATTTAAATTTTGTCGTGTACAATCTTTCTTTGAAAAATGGCGAAAGAGCGAGTCTGCAAAAGTTTAAAAGCGAAGTAACGAGGGACTACTGTATATTGTATTTTGGTCAACACGAAACAAAACGACGTGTCGGTCAATTTAGCAGATACTGGGTTAAAATCTGTTTGGGATCATCCTGACAGATCACGTAAGATCTCTCTAAACTTGAACACACAACGCGCTGAGTGATGCTCCTTTTAATCAAGGAGCCCTGCTTCGTTTTCTGGTTTCAGTTTCTGGTCTTCGCCTGGTTTTTCCTTGAAACTAACGAAGCCGCTGTATTCGTTTTACAATTTTGGGAACCGCTTTTGTTGAGCTAAAGTTAATTTGTAGAAAATCAAGCGGTTTGAAAGCGGCAGCCGTCGTTTTAGATCACATTTAAGGGTAATTAACTGACCAAATAATTTTTTTGTTGTTACTACTTCTGGAGGATTTATGAGATGAACAAACTGAATTTTAAAAAGAAGCTAAAAATTGAATAAATACTATCTAAGAAGAAAAGAAAGCAGTTCTGTGTCCAGTTTCAGTGTGGGAAACGAGTCACCTGCTGTCTTTTACACAACTTGACGCCAGGCCGGGGGGTTGGCTATAAATATGTCAGACTGAAGACTTGTGGTTCTGTTATCTGTTCTCGACTCCAGCTGCTGAAGAAGGACAAGAACAAACTGGAGAACCAGATGCGGACGATTCTTCCGGATCTGGCTGGGTAAGTGACGGACAGAAATGTGCAGATGTAAACAAATTTAGAGTTATAACGTTCATCTGAGCTAAACCAATTCCTAAAACGTGACTTCAATTGCTTTGTTTTGATTTTTAAGTCATTTCAATGATTGTATTTGTAATGAGTTTTGCTTCCCGTCGTCTCCTCTGCCAGGGCCAGCCTGTCGTTGGCTTACAGACCGAACCAGAGCTGCGTCAGGTCTCTGCAAACTGAACTGGCTCTGGCACAGTCGCCACTGGAGGTCAGCAACCCTTGTGCTCCCTCACAAACCCTCCACTTCCATCGTTTCCCACAGCTAAAGACGTTTGTTTCTTTCTTGAACCTTGACACGAGGAAACCACTTTATTATCTGAGAACTAGCGTTGTTAGAAAACGCACTTCAGCTGTGCAGCGGAGCTGTGCTCACTGCAACGTTATTTGATCAAAGTTCTCTTCATAAAGTCCATTTCTTGTTGAGCCTTTTGTAAAACTTTCAAATAGATTGTCAGCACAAATGAAGCACCGTTGACCTGCTCATAAGAGAACAGAAATGTGTGCACTGCATTTCCCATCATGCCCTTCTGCTTTTGTTGTATTTGAACATGAAGTGGTAGAAATTTTAATGGAAAATCTCCCAAAACGCTGAATTATACGAGTGACAATCATCCTGCCAAGAGTTTTCTTGAACACAGTCGATCTGTGAAAACATCTTAATTAATAAATTAATTTATTTTCAGTTTCTTGGATTTTAACAGCATTTTTTTTCCCCAGTTCTTGACGGAGTTCACAACTATTTTATTCTTGGCTCTCCGTTTTTAGGATGACCGATTAGAAAATACTTCTAAAATTTCTGAAGCCGTGTATTTTTGTATTTATCCATTTTTCTTCTGTTTTTCAGCATCTTTCTCGTTCCACAATTTTTGTGCTGTTTCAACAAGTCATGCATCAAAACATTCAGCTCTTTCAGGACAATCCTGCTTGTCTTGCTGGTATTGGTGCAACTTTAGCTTTTTGAAATATTTAGCCTTTTCTGCCATTTTTTTTCTCATAGAAAATGAATTTAACTCATTTTACATCCTTCGAATCTTTGGATCTGTTTACAACCTTTTACTACTTTCACATTTTGTTCTGGTTCAGCTTCCTTGTGCAAATTTTAACATTTTTTTCAGCTACTTTCAGCTGTTTTTTCAGCTGTTTTGTGCTCCTTTCAGATTTGATCTGCTAGCTACATTTTTGTGCTTCTTATAACTTTCTGCTCCTTTCAGCTTATTTCTGCAAGTTTTAGATTATTTATGCAAGTTTCAACTTTTTCTATTTCATCTGTTTAGCTGTTATTCTAATTTTAGCTTTTTCAGCTAATTCCACATTTTTGCACTCATTTTGACTTCTTTCAACCTAGTTCAGCAAAAATATGCTCTCTCCATTTCCTCCTTGTAATTTAAGCTTCTTTCTACTTTTTTGGCTACTTTTCAGCTGTTTTTTTTTTAAAGCTAATTTAAGCTTTTTTTTATATTAGCTAACTTCTACTTTTATGTGCTAATTCCTTTTTCTTTCTTCCTAATTGGGGAAACATGTTCTTTCTGCTTTCTTGGGCTAATTTAAGCTTGTTCTGTCTGTTCAGCTACATTTTTAGCATTTTCTAGATAATTTCAGCTGTTCAGTTAAATTCTTTTTTTTTTTTTGTGGTAATTTCTGCTACTTTCAGCCTAATTAACTTCTTCCTAATAATTTCAGCTTGCTATGCTCCTTTCAGCTTTTTTATGCTAGTTTCAGCTTTTTCTGCTTTATGCTAATTTTAGCTTTTTCAGCTAATTCCACATTTTTTTTAGTTCATTTCAACTCTTTCTGCTTCCTTCTGGTAGTTTACGCTTCTTTCTGTCTTTTCAGCTACTTTTCAGCCTTTTTTTTTTTTAAACTAATTTCAGACTTTTTAAGCTAATTTCCTCATTTTTGTGTTAATTTCTTATTTAAACCTATTTCAGCAAATATGTGTTCTTTTTGCGTCATGTTGCTAATTTATGCTTCCATTTCAGCTACATTTCAGCATGTTTTGTTTTTTTAGCTAATTTCAGCTGTTTTTCAGCAAGTTCTTCAATAAGCATTCACACTGCATTTTCTCAGGAAATGTAGTTTCTCTAGTTCTTGTTTCAATATGTTTAAATGGCCTTTGGCTTTAAGCTTTCTAAATTAAGCACTTTTTTTAGATTTTAAATATATAAACAGTCACGCAGCAGTTTATGTCTAGTTATTCTGCCTTTGTAGACTCTTAACAAACTTCAGTTCTTTAACATTTCTCACCACACATCGATTTTATTTTCAGTGCCGTCCTTCGAGAAACGCAGCGTTTTTAGCGTTTTTAGCGTTTTTAGCTCGGTGATGTAAAACCCTTGTTTTCCCCTCCAGGCTGACCTCGGAGTTGAGCATTTGACGAACGTGCAGTCGCCGCTGGACGAGACGCTGGACAGAGGGGTGCTGCTGATGCTGCAGGGACCCAGCCCCGAGCACACGCCTCTGGAGTTTGAATGCCTCCTCAACAAACTGGTGATCACGTTGTCTGTACCCAGAAACTCTGTAGCTGCCTGACTAATGGAGCGTTTGGGATAATTTACCAAAAGCGGCACTGAATTTTGCCCTCAGCTGAACAATCAGAGACGAGCTGGACAATCCACGAATGAAAGTTTCTAAAATATGCTGCAGCAAAGTTTAGATGAGATTTTTAACATTTTATTGATATTCTAATCGTTAAACAGGCAGCATGAAAGAAAACTTACATTTATCGTGTGAATGTTTATGAACATTCACTCTATTGTGATCAATTTCTCTTCTGTACGTTTTTCAGCATCGTTCTCGTTCCACAATTTTTCTGCTATTTCAACAAATCATTTATCAAAATGCTTGTTCATGGAAAGGGTGCTGACTTTTGTTATTGGTGCAACTTTAGCTTTTTGTAATATTTAGCCTTTTCTGCCACTTTTTAATCTCATAGAAAATGAATTGAGCTCATTTTACATCCTTCACATCTTTAGATCTGTTCACAACTTTTACTGCTCCTTTCACATTTTGTTCTGGTTCCGCTTCTTTCAGCGTCCTTCTGCAAATTAAATTTTTAACTAAGTAATAAGTACTTTCAGCTAATTTCAGCTGTTTTTCCCAGCTGTTTTGTGATACTTTTAGATTCGTTCTGCTAACTACATTTTTGTGCTGCTTCTTCTTTCTGCTAATTTCAGCTTGTTTTGCTCCTTTCAGCTTATTTCTGTAAGTTTATGCTAGTATTTAGCCGTTTTATGCTAATTTTAGCTGTTTCAGGTAATTCCACATTTTTTGCACTCTTAAAATTTTTTCATCCTAATTCAGCAAAAACGTACTTTCTTCACTTGCTTCTGGTAATTTAAGTTTTTGTGCCTTTTTTAGCTACTATTTAGCTGGGCTTGTTTGTGTGCTAATTTCAGCTTGATTCATACAATTCCCACTTTTTTCTGCTGCTTTCAGCTAAATTGGGCAAACGTTCTTTCTGCTTTCTTCTGCAAATTTAAGCTTGTTTTACCTTTTCAGCTAGCTTTTTAACATTTTTTAGGTACTTTCAGATGTTTTTAGTTAAACTCCAGTTTACCGTGGACAATTCTGCTATTTTTAACCTAACTTTCTGCTCATTTCAGCTTATCCTTCTTTTAGATTTTTATACTCCTTTCAGCTTTTTCATGCTAGTTTAATATTTTTCTACAATTTCAGCTAATATTTATCTGTTTTAGTGCTAAATTTAGCCGTTTCATCTTTTCTACATTTATTTTAGCTCATTTTAGCTCCGTCCACTTCCTTCTGGTAGTTTAAGCTTCTTTCTGCGTTTTCAGCAAGTTTTCAGCTGTTTTCTTTTTTCTAATTTCAGCTTTTTTAAGCTAATTTTCAATTTTTTGTGCTTGTTTCTGCTTATTTAAACCTAATTCTGCCTATATGTGTTCTTTGTCTAACTTTGACTTGTTCTACCATTTCAGCATATTTTTAGCCACTTTCTCTCTTTCTTTTCCAGAAAAGGGATTTAACAGAAGAAACCGGCTCCGTCTTGTCTTTGGTTCAAGACCTTTTGAACCGGGACACAAAGCCTGACGACGCCTCCGACGCTCGTCTTCAGGTCTGATGCTTTATATTTTTTACACACTTTCCCAACACGATATTAAAGATTAAGAAGTTGGAAAACTGCAACTTTCTCCAATAATTGTTGATGAATCTGTGCACATTCAGTTTGTTGGACTTTCAAAATAAAGCGACGAAGCTACTTTTTTAGCTGAGGAGCATAGTTTGGAAAAGGGAAAAAAGACTAGCAAAAACAAATTTAAATCTGTAAAACTGAGTGTTCATTACTATAATGTGCTTAGATTATCAAGTAGTATAAACACTTTCACCTTTTGTGTCGTAATGGCATATTTTTGGTGAAAGAGTTGGACGATAAATGTTTACTTATTGAAAGGCGGAGCGAGGAGACTGAACTTTTAGTTTTTAACTACCTTTACACTCGTGGTAACGTCCGTCTGCTCATCCTAAAAGTTTCTGCTGAAACCTGAACAGACTGCCTGTGTCTGAAAATGATAAGATTTAGATTTATTTAACTGGCTGATATCGGCCACTTGTTTAAAAATCCACCGTACTTGTGCAGCCTTCTTTAAATACCAAGTACAACCAGCTTACTATACCCACGTTGCAGTTTGTCTCTGATATTTTTGGTGTTCAAGTCGTTCTTCGGATTGTAGCAAACTGATAGCTAAAAGTATCAAGGCTGGCTAAAAGTAGCAAAAGGTTAGCTCGAGGATGAAAGTAGCAGAGCGATAACCAGAAGCTAAACTTAAAGATAAAGACAACGCATGATTGTTAAAGAAAATTTCAAAGAGAACCATATTTTTTGAACAAGCTTAAGAGATCTGAATGTATTTTATGGGGAATATATAAAAATAAGTTTTTGTGAAGTTTAAAATGTACAAAAAACAAAAGTCACAGCAAAATTTGCAAACTGCTACTGTGTGCATTTGTTTACCTTCAGAAACAGCCGAAGTGACTGAAAGTAGGTCATACTGTTGGATAAAAATATCTTTTCATCTTACTTCAAAGGACCACACTCGGTTGGAGAAGATTTTTAACTGGTTTTAATTGCAAGGGTGGATTTTCAGAACAGGTCACACAGATGTACAGGAGGTACACGAAGCACAGCCACAAGAATCTGCCACGAGCAGCGTGCGCGGCTTGTTTTTATACACTTATCAGCTCTCGGCTCACAGACAGACTGGTGTCTGCACATGAAGTATCAAATCAGCTCCTCATGCAGCTCTATGAGAGAGAGAAAACTCTTAACTCAAACACATGGTTCATGGGCAGTTAACATTCTCAGACATATGGTTAAAAACATCCATAAACCTTGACCAAAAGTCCCCAACACAAACGTTAAACTTGGCTGCCAAATTTCTGACTATTGTCTCTTCGTGTCTTCTTGTGCACCCATTTTGTGGGGAGGTGGAGCTGGGGTGCAGCGGTAAAGCAGCCAGCTTGGAACCAGAAAGTTGCAGGTTCGATTCCCCACCATGCTCCATGTTGTTGTTGTGTCCTTGAGCAAGACACCTATCCCCTAACTGCCCTTCCTGTTATAAGCTATTTAAATAGCTGCCTGCTGATCCACTTGAGTATCTTACGTGTGGAGGATCAATTACTGAGGATCAATTACTGAGGATCAATTACTGAGGATCCATTACTGAGGATCCATTACTGAGGATCCATGTCATTATTGTATGGGATCATACAGTAACAACAATGTAAAGCACTTCTTCTTCTTTAACTCATTTGTGTGTCATTACTATTATTATTACTACTATTATTATCATTGGCTGGGGGAGCGGTAGCACAGAGGTTGGAGAAGGTGGTAAGGTCACCGGTTCAACTCCCTGTTCTGACTTTGTCAAAATGTGGGTGGGAATGGTGACGCAGCTACACCTGCCTCCACCTGCCTCCACCCTCATTTGTCCCACTCTGGGCCCTTAACCCCCACCATCTGCTCCACTGGGTGTCCTAGATGGCAGCTCTGCTCCACTCAGAACTGTGGTAGCTCAGTGGTCTGCAGGAAGGGCATCCGGTGTAAAAACAATTGCCTAGACTTGATGCGAGATAGTTCGCTGTGGCGACGCCTGAATGGAGCAGACGAAAGAAAAAGAAAGATTGTTGTTGTTGTTGTTGTTTGTCCATCCAAGTGGTATAGTCTCCATACTTTTCTCTTGTCCTTCACATAACTTCTGATCTGCTCAAGATAACACTTGATACACACATGCACCATCACTAGATAATGTCACGCCCATTTCATCACCCAAGCTTCAAGGTCATTAATCAAGGTCAAAGGTTATACAAGGCCTTTACTTGTCCAGGCCATCACTATAGATTTGTTATTTTGTTGACAGGCGTAAAACATGCCGTTTGTGATGATTTGTCTTATTGTGTCTTCTGGGTCCTTTTTTTTAAAATTATTTTGTTCTTTTCGTTTGTGTCTTTATGCATCTTTGTCCCTTCTTCTCGTTTCTTTTCTTCTCGTTCTGTGCTTCAGTTATTTTAAGTAACATTGTCAGTTTATCGATCGTTCATCTTTTTTGACTCCTTTGGCTAATTCCCACAGAATTCAAACTATTTTGTGCCAAAACTAACTATGACCTTTTTTTTTAGCTAGCGTTTTGCTACTTTTGCCAACGGTTTATTTCAGCTTCCTGCTTGTTTTAATTTCAAACATCAGAAAGTCGTACACTCGGCAGACGCACTGCATTTTTACAAAAATTGCCATTTTCTTTACTTTTTGGTTGATTTCTTTCTTTGCATTGACTAAAATAAATGCGTTAGCGAACGAGTTGAATATTTGGGTTTAAATTCTGCAACATTTTTTAATTTAGCAGAAAACCGTTTTGAAATGAATCATGAAATCACATGTTTCACATTTTTTTCATCACGCTGTCTGCTCTTCCTCCTTTTCCCACCCACTATCCCTCCTCTCTGGAGACCTCATTTATGTAACTCTGTTGTACCACGAGCACAACCCACTCTCCTCCTCATTCACTTTCTCTCATTCTCACCCCACCAGATTGTTGCCACTCTGCATTCATTAGCCATGTGCTGCCCTACAGCAGAAAACACACCAAAGACAAAGAGTAGCTGGAGCCGTCCAGTGTTGGTACATTAGCTGTAACGGAACGTTTACTTCCTACAGTTATGCATTTGAAACCAGCTTGTGGACTTCTTCCGCAAAGCGAGACGCTGACCTTTCGGCTTCGTTTGACCCGCAGAGGGTGAAGGCCGAGCTGGAGTCTCGAAGAGCAGACTGGCTTATCAGCCTGGACCAGCTGGCTCAGTACGTGGACGCGCTGGAGAAGGAGCTGATCAAAACGGCCGGCAGCATGAGGAGGTCCCGCACCGAGATCCTGAACCTGTCCGACAGGTGAGTAGATTTTCTGCGTGCGAAAACGAGTCGGCTGGGAGAAGTCTGTGAGCTTTCCAGACTTGTTAGATCTTTGATGGTTTGGTTGGAGCGGTTGGATGAAGGAGAGCGACCCAAAGTGGCAGTAAGTTTTTTGTCCCTCCTAAAGCTGCAACCTCATTTGTTGAATGCAGTTCTAGTGGGCGGAGCTAAAAATCTCCCACCACGGAAGAAGTCTGTTATCAAAATACAGCAGTCCCTTGCTAATTTGTGGTTCGTTTATTGCGGACTCGCTCTATCGCGGTTTTTCAAAATAAATTGGACATGACGCACAATTTTCTGATTGATGGATGAGTCACGCGATCGGCATAAAATTTTTATTTAAAATGAATTATTTAAAATTATTTAGCACCTCCTGCACCTTTGTGCAGCCCATACTGCAAGATAAGCTTCCTGCTGCAGCTGATCTCCGTGCAGAGAGGAGAAGTGGGCGTGGCCAAGAGCGCTTGCAGGTGGCAAAGAGCAGAGGAGGCATGGAGCTGAAATCATGACAT